TGTTCTGTGAACTTTCGCCGTAATCCATCTAGTACCTCTTTACTTAGCTCGAAATATTTTTTCTGCTTGTCATGGTGCTGCTCAGCCAAAGCCACTATTTGTAAAGGGATAGGGATTTCAGGGGAGGGTGTGTCCACCTTCTTCTTCTTTGACCTTCTATGTTCCACCACCTGCCATGGGTTGAGCACGCGTTGCACAGATGGTAGCGGAGGAAACTGGTCATCCTCACTTTCGTCGACCAACGACTCGAAGCGATTTCCCGCCAACACTGATTGACCTGACACCGTCTCAGAGTTGCTGAATACAAGCTGGCTAGATTCTTCTCCCTCACAGCTAGATTCAATTTCTGGTTTTAGAGGTGGCACATAGTTGTCTGCTGCTTGAAATGTGCTTTCCATCTCCTCTGCCAGTTTCGCACTAGCCGCTTGTTGTCGCTTTTCTCTCAACATTCGTGCGTTCTCCTCCCAACTCAGACGGGTGGCGATTTCCGCGTCTGACTCTGGTTTTGGCTTCCGCCTCCCCCCATATTGGACACCAGGGTTTTGAGAGCCTCCACATCACCCCCAAAATGCGACAGAATCAAGTCAAGAAGCACGCTCGAATTGTTTCTCACCTCTCCCTCATCCGATGGCTCCCCGCCATGGGACTCTCCCTCCCCTTCCCCCTCCTTGCCCGAGGCACTGNTATTGGACACCAGGGTTTTGAGAGCCTCCACATCACCCCCAAAATGCGACAGAATCAAGTCAAGAAGCACGCTCGAATTGTTTCTCACCTCTCCCTCATCCGATGGCTCCCCGCCATGGGACTCTCCCTCCCCTTCCCCCTCCTTGCCCGAGGCACTGCCCCCTCCACCATCCTCCTCCACCTGGGCATCAACCCCCCTCTTGCGCTTTTCTTCCTCCTTCATGGGCACCTTGCCTCCCCCATCACCTGACGTACGAGAAAAAAAATGACCCGCGTCAGGTGTCTGTGACCTTCTGTTTCTGCGCATTTGACTTGTTCGCCGTGAGTAGTACTCCTCCCCACTCCTCTTACTTCGCGGCGCTAACGCGTGAAACCCTGGCATTGCCATTGCCTCCATTGCCATCCTCTGATCTGCGCTTAGGCGCCTTTCCCCTGCCCCCGAGCCTCTCGTCAGACTCCTTCCCCGACTCGCAGGGACATGACTCTCCCACATCTCTCTGCCCCGATCTCCCGTGATGTGCGTCAGCCCTTTTGCTAGACTTGAAGACACGCCTTTTTCCAAGTCACCCACCGCCGTTTCCCCCCTTCGCGACACACTTTCCCCCCCCGCGTGCGCAATACCCTCCTGACCCCTCTTGCCCTCAGGCCATCCACCCTTTCCCCCAGAGACCTCAGCCTCTGTCCGTTGTGCATCCTCGGATGTCTGCTGTACATTCTTAGATAGCACTTCCCTTGTCTGACGTGAGTCCCCAACTTCAACGTCTCCACCCGACCTCTTTTTCCCTTCCTCCCGAGGTCTCTCTGTCAGCACTTCCCCCTTCCCTGACATCGCTTGAGCTGCCGACTCATCCCCTCCCGTCGACAACTCATCCATCCCACCGCCCTTAGAACCACCACCACCCCTGTGGTCCGAGTGCCCAACCCTCCCTTCATCGCTGTTCACTTCCCCCCCCTCACCTCTCTGTGCCATGGGAAGAACACACCGCAAGCGGTGCGCTCACCGCGTAGCCCCTCCTTCGGTGCCAGTGACGTGGAATCGGCCGGCGGTGGCCTATCGCGCGTAGATATATGTGTAGATGTGCCAGTGGGGTCGTGGATTTGCGCGTCTCGATGTTGCTTGCGATTAAAGTGTGTTTCTTAGGCCATCGTGGGCTGGGAACAGCAGGGAAATTGAACACTGAAACAGGGGGAGCACGCGACATCAGCTTACACGAGCTAATTGCGCCGCTTCCTCTGTAGACTATCTACCTAATTGCGCCGCTTCACTTTCTCTCCAACTCTCTCTCTCTCTCTCTCTCTCTCAACTAACTGCAATTCCCTCATAAGCTCATCATTCCAACCATAAATCAACACCTTCTCAATTCTAGTCTCCACCTCATACTCTTTCTTGACCTTCAACTCCATCACGCCTTTAATATATATAGTCTACTGCGATTAAACTACCCCAAGTCTTCTTACACTGACCAAAACTAGGGTTGACTTATTGCACGACATTCGCCCTCCCCAGGTTCAACGCATACTTATCTGCGATCAGTCTCGTTTGAATTAACACTTGACCACAACGTGCAATGCTTGACCTACAACCAATATCATTCTCTTGCAACAAGTCCGAACAGTAACCACCAGAATCAACTCATGTAATACACACACCTCAATTTCGTCACGACCGTGGTACCACTGCAATACGGCTCCATCACAAGGTACATTCTTTAGCCAAAACAACAATTGCTCAAACACATTAATTTTGACCCGTATTCGACTGCACCACTTGGCACACTTTTCCGCAGTCCTACGCACTTCAAAATTCAACCAGTTAATCATCCTCCAACTCAAACATGTACTTCTTGACACTTTTCGCCGTTCTGTGTGCATGCCAGCACCACGTTCCTGGATCTTGT